AGTGGAAAACTCTAAGAGCTCATCAACCTCGTATGCAAATAAACATGGCCAGAAACCCTCACAAATGCATGTGGTCCCACTGATACCAAACTTTTGGAAGGAGCAGATTCATTCGAATACAAGGTTTCTCAGTGGAGCAGATAAAGAATGGGAAGCAACGTATGAAGGATGCAAAAATTTCAGAGAGATTACGGATTGCTGGAATCTGATTACTTTCTGCAAATGTTCTAATATGCATCGACTACATTTGATATAAACACTGCACCTGACCTGATAGCTAAGACCTGAATAAGATTATGGAAATCGTGTGTAGGACATGTGTTGGGAATCAAGAGAGGGGTTCATTATGTGAAGGGGTCCCATTAAAATTCTCTTCTAGGTGAATAATCACTCTCAGTACATTTTTATCATAATATGAAACAAATGTGCTGGGTGAAAAAGCATTGTATAAACCCGGATTGTCACAATTTTACTATATGAGACCAAACTTACAGATGTCCACAAAAGGCTGTATCAGTCTTAGTGGAGACAGGATTAACAATTATGTATCGATGTAGGGACTCAATTCCAGGGTGTGACTTATTTGATGACAAGAGCAAACCAAACACACATGGATGGTTTCAAGAAACCTTCTGTGGCTGTGGTCTGGGTCAACAGAAGCGCATGTGTCTAACCTGCCAAGAAGCCTACAAGAGGACGGAGCCATCTAGTGGTGGATATCGGCATTGCAGTCTCTTTGCAAGGCAGCTGGTTCAATAACTTTTCAAACTTGACTTTGAAGTCACAAGTGAGAATTGAAATGCAAAAGACGCTAAAACTGAGTTTCGAACCCCAAAGAGTTTAAAAGACACTTTTAATTTCATCGTTAATGCAGACCAAACGCCTTTCCTCGGAGTCCCACTGCACCAAGGTATAAAGTTCATCTTACACAACGCTCTGCAACAGACCTTTGCATCCCAAATGACATGTGAGACGGCTTCTGCTTGCCAGAACTTCACGGATAGGTGGCCTTGAATAGCCGGTAACTTAACACATAGACAATTAGTTGTCATTTCCCCCCCCCACCCCACACACACACACAACGACATAGTCACCATGTTTGTTTAAAATAGTTCACAAGAGTAATTTTATTCCAGCACATGTGTATTTAATGTGATCTGTGTGTCTAAGGAGAAGGGAGAGATACAACCCCATTTTCCTCACTTTATCTTCAGGCAACAGGGTCATGCCTTGTCTGTCCAGGACTTAGGCCACTTCTCTGGCTCACACACCAGGTCACCAGTCTTACCGATGTTGCTGTCTTTATAAATGCAACATGGCCTTGTAACAGCTCAGAGATGGAGTCTGCTTCCCTAACTCCAGCCAGAGACTCTCAGGGTCTCCTCTAAGTTGTAGTACGTCCCAGTGTATTCTGACTTTGGCTTTAAGACCTTGACACTCAGGGTTTTCATCTTTTTGTTTTTAATAGTGCCTATCACGAAGCCCGGGCTGACTATCTCCAAACATACTGTGTAGCTGAGAATAACCTTGTGATCCTACAGTCTTTAGGAGTGCAGGGGTCACAGGCATGTGTAGTAGCCACAATGGTTCTAAGCAGTGCACAGTAAGTAGCCAAGCACCCTACTAACTGAGCTGCACCCCAAGCCAATTTACAGATGGGGACTTTCAAAACTAAACATAGTTCCTGTAAACTGGCATTAGAGTGTGTGTGGGGCTGGGGGGTCACAGAATGGATGAGTTGAAGGTTCTTGAATGAAAGCCAGGCCTCCCATAGCTGCTGCCTGTGACCTGAAGCAAAGCATTAGACCTCAAAGGGGCCATGCGTTAAGGGACAACGTAGTACTTACCTCAACCCGTGGTCATGAGGAGAACTTGAAATTTGAGGGTGCCGGCCGGGCGTTGGCGGCACACGCCTTTAGACCCAGCACTCGGGAGGCAGAGGCAGGCGGATCTCTGTGAGTTCGAGGCCGGCCTGGTCTACAGAGCGAGTTCCAGGACAGCTTCCAAAACAATACAGAGCAACCCTGTCTCGAACAACAAAACAAAACACAAAATTATGCAGGTGCCAAATCTAACCCACCACTGACAGGGTGTGCTCACTGAACCTTACCGGCTGCCGGCACCCTCCCTCAAGGCAACTCTCTGGAGAGGTACTTTGGGGATGAGGGCCTCCTGGGGTTTTACTGGCCCAGGCGCAACGGCTCTAATGAATCTGTGGCCATTCTCGTCTGTTTTGCCCTTTATCCCTGAGCAGTGATTTTTTTTTTAAATGGCCCAGTTTCAGTGCAAGGATTTTAAAAGCAGTCCTGATCTCCTTGCCCATCTGCTGTAACAAAATGCACGAGACAGGGTCATTCATAAATGACAAATTTCATTTCTCTAAGTGCTGGGAAATACACAGTCAAGGTGCCGGCTGTTCTCATGAGGGCAGCTCCCCAAAATGGCATCGTGTTGCTCCAACCGCAGTGGTGACAAATGCGTCCTCACATAAAGAGAGGGACAGAAAGACGGAAGGCCACCGTGCCTCTTAATATTATTGGATAGATTGTCTCAGCATGAATTAGAAAGTGACTTTTACTGTGTCCAGTGCCTCACAAGAAGCAGCTTCGGGGGGGGGGGCGTTCTGTCGCAAGGGGACAGAGTGTCGTGGGTGGAGTAAGCTAGACAGTGGGAACACAAAACAGCGCATCCCACTGGATCTGTCGTCATGAAGCCGAGAGGCACGGGAAGTGGGCCACTACCAAACCTCGAGGCACACCCCTAGTGACTCCTCACTTCCTGTAAACTGAGGCCGCATCTGCAAAAAAAAAAAAAGCTCCCGGCCGGCCTTCCAAAGCCACCGTGAGCTGGAGACAATCAAGTCGGGAGCCTGTGGTGGGCACTTGACATTCAGAACCCAAGACACAGACGTGCAAGCCGGAAGCCTGTGGTGGGCACTTGACATTCAGAACCCAAGACACAGACGTGCAAGCCGGGAGCCTGTGGTGGGCACTTGACATTCAGAACCCAAGACACAGACGTGCAAGCCGGGAGCCTGTGGTGGGCACTTGACATTCAGAACCCAAGACACAGACGTGCAAGCCGGGAGCCTGTGGTGGGCACTTGACATTCAGAACCCAAGACACAGACGTGCAAGCCGTGACGCCTGGCGGCCTGGTGCCTGGCATCACTGTAGCGTTTACTCACGGCTCCTTTGCAAGCCCAGCCTCTTGGTCCCGGAGGAAGAACCGGGGATAAATAAAATGGTCCTGAGTCTAGAAGACAAGCCCTGCTGAGTCGCCAGCTCACTGCTGTAGCCTTCCGGGGGAGTTTAACTCTAGAAATACCCAGCAGCCTCTACTTGAAGGCTCTCTGGATGTAAAAGAACAAAGGGTAGGCCGATAAGCTTTTGCTCTCCTAACTAATGCTCTTCACCTAGGAAGAACGGGACCCTGGAGTGTCTAGCCCAAGCTCATAGCCATTCTTATCGGGGCCAGGGTTCAAATTCCAATTCCAATTCCTCACTCATTTTCCTTCCAACCTCGGTTCTGCCTGGGTCCCCCAAATCCATCACCCATCCAGGTAGAAGTTCACTATCAAGACAGAAAGCTCTCTCCCACCACAGAGCCGGGGACCTGGAGGGTCAGCAGAGGCCAAGCTACCGGACTGAACATGTTTATTTGCTCAGCCTCCACTCTGAAGGTGCTGAGTGAGAATGACGCCTCCAGAGCATCGACACCCCCAATTCCAGCAGCCAGCATCTTTCTCTAAACTTGCTCTTCTCTGCTGAGCATTTCAGTGAGCCATTTCTCCCCACCCCTGACCTACCCCACCAGCCCCTCTTCAGATAAAATTTGGAGTGAATTAAGCAGAGCATTGGTGGTGCGCGCCTTTAATCCATGCACTAGGGAGGCAGAGGCAGGTGGATCTCTGTGAGTTAGAGGCCAGCCTGGTCTACAGAGGGGTTCCAGGACAGACTCCATAGCTGCTGAGAAAGTCTGTCTCAAAAAAAAAGGAAACAAATTAATTAAGGTTAATTAAAGGTGGGGAAGTTCGTTTTGTGTTGTGTCATGATATAAAGTGTCCAGGATAAAGAAACGTTTGAAATCATTCATCTGGACAGTTAAGGAGAGAAGGACTGTGCAGGAGGGACTCTAATCTCACTCTCCCAGGGGTATTGACTTGCACAGCCGGTAGTAGTTTCTTTGTGTTTATAATTACCCCTTTCACCTTCACGCAAAGGTCTCTTGACAATGATTATACAAGCTTTCTGCGGTTTGGGTGGTTTTTTTTTTTCCCCCTCCCTGACGTGACAGCCAAATGGTCTTTAACCATTTTGAGGCGTGGATATGCCGATGCTTCAGGAAATTTGGCACAAGCACGCCGGGACCTAGAGGTTGGGCTCTCATCTGATTGTAGACCACAACCTGCCTGCACTGGTCAGCTCTCTCCAGCTTCCCTCTGGCAGCCCCTCCCCTCCCTTCCTCCCGGCTTAGAGCCTGCCTCTGCTCTTAGAACCTGCCTCTGCTCAACCCCGTGCTCTCTAGCTTATCCATCTATCTGGAGACCAGAGTCCCAAACATGCCAGCACAGCCTGCCAATTACTGATGCCCAGGTGGCTTGCTCTTTTTTGTGAAGGGGAGCCAGATCACGTGTGTCTGGTCATGGGCGTCATTGCTGCAGGTGCCGGGGACTACCTACACGGGCTCCTTCTGTGTTTCGGGCGTAGACAGTGTTCACCATGGAACCAGGTCGATTTCTATCTTTGCTAAAGTACCTTTCCTAGGAAGGCAAGCCCCTGCCTGCAGTCTTCAAATTCCAAGACCTCTCCCCTCTGTTGACTCATAAACTCAGTGGACACCCAGACTCGGTGCAACAGGACACCTGGAGCTAAGCTGGTGGCTTTGTCCTGGCCTGGGGCAGGCCAGCCCTCCCCTGGGGTGGAGCTACACCTGTGTCCAGCACTTAAACCCTTGCGGCTCAGCTGCTGCCAGAGATCTGTGAGCCTGCAGCCCAGCTGGAGCGGGAGTTTGGACACAGTTCGTGGAGACCTCAAAGGAGAGCCTCCTCCAGGCAGATAGATCCCCAGCGCCTCTGGTCTAGCCATGGCACCGCAGGGACGACTTCTCATCCGCGGGGGTCGCGTGGTCAATGATGACTTCTCACAGGTGGCCGACGTGCTTGTGGAGGACGGCGTGGTGCGGGCACTGGGACTGGACCTGCTGCCTCCCGGAGATGCCCCCCGGGGGCTGCGCATCCTGGACGCGACGGGCAAGCTGGTCCTGCCCGGAGGCATCGACACACACACACACATGCAGTTCCCGTTCATGGGCTCTCAGTCAGTCGACGACTTCTACCAGGGCACCAAGGTACCCAGCTCACAGGTCCTATAATCTGGGGTCTCCAGCAGCCCCACCTCGCTCGCTCCTGCGCAGCGCTAGGGACTAGAGTAGAGGGAGAAACCTGAGCTATCTGGGATGAAGATGCTGTAAGCTGTGGTCTGCAGTGTGAGCCAAGTGTATGGCCCCTCCACTCCTTCTGGGTAGCCTGGCACTCTGGAAGTCATCCGTTCCCTTGCCCTCTTCTCTTAGCGCCATCTCCTGGTGTCTGAAATCCCTCTTTGTCGTGATAGTCCATGAAGGTTTCCAAAGCTCCTAGTGTCTATATGACTGGCTTGTTTGTTCTTCAAATAGGCCCTCCCAGCTTTTTCTCCCAGCTCTCCACTCCAGCCACCAACGAGTGAAAAATCCATTCGCCTAGAACAGTGGTTCCTTTCTTTCCTAATGCTGCGCCCCTTTAATACAGTTCCTGACGTTGTGGCAATCCCCAATCATAAAAGTATTTTTGTTGCTGCTTCCTAATTGTAATTTTGCTACTGTTATGAATGGTGATGTAAATATCCGATATGCATGATATCTGATATGTGTCCCCTGTGAAGGGGTCGTTGGACCCCCAAAGGGATCGCAACCTGAGAGCTGAGAACCATTGATTCAGAAATTACTGTTGTGATTGGAGAGGCCAGGGTGGTTTGGAAGCCCGTAGCGTCTACACTGGACCCAGCCCAACCCTATAGAAGTAAGATCGCCTGACGAGGATTTTAAAGATAGGTTTCTTCCAGCCTTTGCTGGCACGGGGTGACCTCTCCAACCCCTTACCCAACCCACTTGCTCCAGGCAACAGCTAAAGTGGATTCTTGCTACTTAAGTACCTGCCCTTAGAGAAGTGCAGGAAGCAGCCAAATCTGGAACCCAGGAGAGGAAGGCTGGGGGTCTCTAAGGGAACACCCAGATGCTCAAACCAGTGAAATGGGCAGGAAAGGTTTCCGAGGAGCTTCTGAAGCCAACATGGGGTTAGCAAGGTAGCTTTGCAGGAAATGAAAATTGAGTCTTCAGCACCCGGGCTGAAGATATCAAACCCGCACGCGTCGTTTTTAAGTCTTGCCCCTCTCTTAGCTGCCCTGTGAGAAGTGGTTTCTCCCAAAGGGGAGACACATCGATTTCCTCAAGGCTCCTCTCTGGGTTCCTGTCAGGACTGTATGTGAATGTGTCAGCCACAGAAGCTTGGTGCAGACCAGCAGGCTCTCAGAGCAGCCTGCAAGTTTTTATTGCATTTACTAACCTGGTTTCTGACCCCTAATACCCTCCTCATACCCTCCCCCATTCGACTTCCCCCATGCTCCATGACTGCCCAGAGCAGTTGCCAGAAAGGAGAAAGGTAGGCATATTTGACCCAGAGACAAGGGTTGGTGGCAGTCTGCCTAATGCAACATTTGGAACGCTTCTTCTTGGTTACTTATTATCAATGTCTATCAACCTGATAATAAATATCTTGTTTTTCAGGACAAGCGGCTGTCTTCTTTCAAATTTAGAGTACCATGTTATGACTCTGTCTTTTTCCCTCTTTACAAAATGTCATGAACTCATTCTTATATTTGGAATGAATCTGTCAGCTATTGGAACAATTCGTGATTATAAATAAGTAGAATAATAACAGATCAGTAGAAAGAAGAAAAATATCTCCAAGCATCTTCTCAACACCCACCCATGTTTTGATCGATTCCCTTATGGTTTTTGTTGTTGGTTTTTCAAGACAGGGTTTCTCTGTGTAGCTTTGGAGCCTGTCCTGGAACTCACTTTGTAGAATAGGCTGGTCTTTATGGCTAACCAGTATAGCTAACTAGTATGGCTAACTTCTCACTCTGATGTTCTTCCCTAAACTTTGTTTGTTAGATCACAAACAAAATATCACCACATCAAACACTAGTGTGATTGATGGTGATACCTGGTTATAGCTAGTATTTGTTTTTGTTTTTGTTTTTTTTTCCTTTGGAGACAGGGTTTCTCTGTGTAGCCTTGGCTGCCCTGGAACTCTCTCTGTAGACCAGGCTGGTCTCGAACTCACAGAGATTTGCCTGCCTCTACTTACAGAGTGCTGGGATTAAAGGCGTGCGCCACCAACGCCCGGCCTTCCTTGCGCTTCTTGATACTGTAGATTCTTGACAGCATATGGGGCGCGTGTGTGTGTGACCGGGCATGTAAACCTGCAAATGAGGCTTTGTGGGCAGCCGCTAACACTGACACACTTATCCTTTTCTGTTATCACTGACTCATTGTTGACAATAGACCGCTAATGTCCCGTGTGACTTTGAGGACCCCCATTTGCAGAGTGGGGAGCAGCTGTCCTGTCTACCATTTGCCAGCCTCTGAAAGGTTGAACAGTCGCTTTCCTTCCTTTGTTTCTGGGAGGAGATGCCATGAGGTCCTTTTGGTTCTTCTCAGAGGTGGTGTAGATGAGCCCTGGGTTTGTGACCTTAGGGACAAAGACATTTTGCAGGGAATGAACGTATCGTGTATTTCAGTGCCTGGATAAACACGGCTTTACTGCCGTTAACTGCCACTTATCTCATGAAGATCTCCCACTTTCTATCAACTGGGCTAAACTACGCGTTACCCTCTGTAATCATGGGTTCTGTCGCCTACATTTTTAACAGCTGAAAAAAAGAACCGAGACGAGTTACCTGCCTAAGGCGGCACACCCTCAGAAACATCCAAGCTAACGGCTTTCCAAATTTCGGCATAGCTTGACCCTCATCTCTCGGGCTCTGCCCTGTTAGGCTCTGTGCTTTTGGGGAAGCATCTAATGTGCTCTGATCTATCAGAGCAGCCAGTGATGGCTGAGAGAGTTGCGCAGCTTATGTGTTAAGGTGAGCTTCAGTCCTCAGAAATAAAGCAGGGTCATTCTGAGGAGCTACGGTTGCCCTGTTCTTCACCTCCCCAGTGCTGGAGGGAGTTCAAGGTATTGCCATCAATACTTATCATGGGTCTATTCGGAGGGCATCCGAATATGCATTTATAGCCACACCATCTTGGAGGACGTAGAAAGAAGTAAGTGCCTTATGCACAGAAAGTCGTAAAGTACGCATGATATATGATGCTTTCAGGAGGTGCACCCAGAGGTTGGAGCAAAGCCGCTTGCTTTCTGCAGGCACAGGGATGATCGGTTACAATATCTGACAAACAGCAAGGATACTGTCTGTGGTTTCCTTTTTTTTTTTTTTTTACTGATCACTTGATTGTGATGGCCCCCGATTTAAAGAATGAAACACAGGCCGACTAAAGGTTATGTGCTTTTTAACTCTAATTCATGTCGGCCATTGGTTTAAAGCCTGTAATGAATTTACTTAATTACAGGTAAGAGCTTTCTGGCTGCTGTAACTAATGGAAACTCCGTTCTGCTCCAAGGGCATCCTCTTTCTTTGTGCCTTCGCTCCGCACCAGATGTAGAGTGATCTTCCAAGAACCCAGTAGCCATGGAGAAGAGTAATGCGGGGTTTTTTGTTTTTAATTCAGTAGATATTGTGAATTCGATAAACCTGAAGGAATTATACCTTGGCTCTTAACTACATTCTGCAAGTGTTCAAATATATGTATTCATGCTGAGACAAAGGCCCATGTTCGCGTTGGGTGGGTAGATGTGCATTCAAAAGTAAACAGACTAAGCAATTGGACTCAGCCTCCTAAAAATCCGGCGAAACGTCTCAGCATGCCTTTTCTCTCTTTTTCTTTTCTTTCTGTTTTCTTCTGTTGTTTTTTCTTTCTCCCTTCTTCTTTTTTTTAAAGCACAAAGCATTCTGCTTTGCTTCAGAACGTCTTGGTGAAATGCCAGGAGGACTATTGCTTCCAAGGGGTGTGATTAAGCACTTTTACAGTTGTATTTATAGAGTCTCCTCACCTTGTAGAAGAAACCTTGAAATCCCCTTTTCTATTGCTTGCCAGAACTCGACTTTGCTAAAGAGCTGGGTGGCTGACCCAGTGGCCTCTGCCTGCCTTGGGGTTGTCAGCATTTGCTGGATAAATTATTCAATTAACAAAAACTGTTAAAAAGTCTTTTTCAAACCAATGTATACTTGTCATCCAGCTCTTAGTAATTCGCTGGAGATTTTGTAGACACTCGATATGTATTAGTATGATAAACTGCATTTAAAAATAAAATGTGCAATAAAGAATAAAGAAAAGTAGTATTTACATGACCTACAGTCTTAAGATTTTTCTACCATCTGTCTCTCTATAGGGGGACATATAAGCTTGTGTCTATTCTACGGACTACACAGAATTAGCAGTGTTCACTAAATGCTTTCCTATGTCCTTAAGTGTCACAGCTGTATCCAACCTTGTGGCCACTCATTCTTGTTCAGACTGTCTCAATTTTTTTTTCTGCTTAGCCTCTGTATTTCCTGAGTATCAAGGTGTGTTTCTACCAATCTGCAGATGTCACAGCTTGGGAACCCCACCAGAAACACCCCCAGAGACAGCACATTGCTCCCCAAAGCCAGCACATTGCAAACCAAACGTACCCACCTTCCAGGCTTTTCTTTCTGTGTCTCCGGCTATTGATGTTTAACACTGTCTTCTCCACGGTGGGTCCACAGTGGTCTCTAAGGGTTTCGTTGTTGTTGTTTTTGTTGTTGTTTGGTAGCCAGATAGGCCAATCATTGTTTGTTTGCTTGTTAGTTGCCTTGCAAGTCATTCCCAGAATGCCTTGCCAAGACACATAAATGTTAGACAGTTAGACACATCTTCAAGGAATTTGATACACTCAGAATAGTCATAGTTGGTGCTTTTTTTTTTTGTAGTCCTTTCTTCACGTTCTGGCCATTGGCTTCAAACAGAAAGCTGACTGCCAATTTAAAGGGAAAATTTTTTTCCTACTTTTTAAAATGACCTCATTTCTTTAATCACTAGACAGGCTAAGCTTTGAATGTTTGTATTGTGTTAGAGTTTGGTTTTTCACAGCTCTGAGCATTTGTAATTTTGTGCTTTATTTTAAAGAAAAAAGTCTATTTAATGATCATAAAGTTAGTTTTTGGACT